TTTTTCCCCCCCCCCCCCCCTCTTTTTTTTTTCTGTAGTGTCATGTTTTATCTGAGTGTCCACAGCTCTCTTTTTGAGGTGTTCTTGCTTCGTAGTCATATGATCTTTGGAATGTTAGCTGTTCAATACTTAAAATAATACAAATGGTTACTTTAAGTATTTTAGTTCTTCTACTTATAATAACATTACCTGAAAACCTGTTAACAGAAAATAGATAATCTTCTTTCATCGCTCTTTGAAGGATTTAGGATTGTGCTTCTGCTGTTAAGCTCCATCCATACTTTATTTGTACAATTTTGCACCTCCTTGTTTACTTATAACTTTAGGCTCCTCAATCAAGTTATGATTAGAATTTCTAATGTGTGTATTCCTTTTTCTAGAATGCTTTAAATAATGCAAATTCTGCCATCAAGAAAGCAACATCAGTGTATTCACAAGAAATAGACCAATGGCTTTCATCATCCGAAGCCTTGGAGGTTAAAAAGATGGAGTTGGAGATTGAATCACATTTTATGAATGAAGCTCGTTTAGAATTGAATAATACCATTGAAGATTCAATCCAGGATGACAAAAGAGAAAAAGAGTTCCTTTGTAAAAGAAAGGATGTGTTAATGGGTGAATTGGAACAACTTCTTGCTTTAGTTAAACAGAAAGAAAAGGAGATAGCAGACAACAACTCTAATTTAGAAGCTGTAGAGAATAAGATAAATAAAACTGTCTCTGGATTTAAGGAGATGCAGTCAAGCATTGATGCCAAGTATGGCAAATTGCAATCTGTCCTTGCTCAAGTGAAATTAGGTACTGAAACTTTGTCTCTAAAGAAGGAGGAAATTGATAACTTTCTCATTAAGGAAGAAGAAATGAGAGCAAGACTTGAGGAATTTGCTAGGATTTCTACAGAAGAAGCTGAAGGATACCGTGAAATAGTTAAACTGAGAAGAAGTTTGATGTCGTCTATATTGAAGTCCAGGGAGGACAAACTGACACTTGCCAAAAATGAGGAAAAGCTTTATGGAGATGTGAAATTGTTTCAACAGGCAGTTTCTGATGCAAGAGCTTCGTTGCAGGTTAAATTTTGTACTGATTTTTGTGTTTTAAATTGTGTATATGGCTGAAATGTGATAAGTAATCTCAGACTCCCAGCACAATGCCGCACCTGTGCACTACCTAATAAGCAATAACCTTAAATTTGAAGTTATACACAAGCTATGTTGCTTCAGTATATATTAGGTTGAGAAAATACTATAAATGGTTCCACATGTAATCAAATCCACAAGCTAAACAAGCAAGACCTATTGCTATTTCTTTTTGCACAAAAGAAAATTCTTTTAGTAGTTATTTGTTCACATATGTGGTTACACTGTTTTCAGGAACTATCTTCAAGAAAGTCAAGCATCCAGCAAGATATAGCATCCTTCAAGCAGAGGATTATTTTCATAGATAAAAGAGTCCCAGAACTAGAAGCGGAAAAGAAAGTTGCTACTGCTGCAAGAAATTTCAAGGAAGCTGCACGAATAGCTATGGAGGCAAAGTCACTATGTGTTGAGAAAGAGAGCATCCAGATAGGCATGGATACAGCTACATCAAATCTAGAGAAGCTTGAAGAAGAAATCAAAGACATCCTTAACAAATTACAGGAGACTGAGGGAATGATTTTATTGAAGGAAAAAGAGTTGGCAATGGTTGGATACCAGAGGCTACTTTTGACAGCTGCTACTGCTAGAGCTGAAAAAGCTGCCGCACTAGAAATGGGTGACATGGAAGAAGCTAACCTCCTACTTGCTGAAGCTGAGGCGGCAGACTGTGAAGCTGAGAAACTTCAATTAACATACAAATTTGAGGCGGAAGACTTAACTGATTTACAAAGACATTTAATTTCAATGGATCTTGTATCGTATCTTGATCAGAAGCAGTTGGAAGAATTAGCTGTGTCACTTCATCTATTTACTGGCTGATTGTTGAAACAAGATTTCAATAGATTTGGTGATTAATATAGTACCAGAAATACTGAAGTACAACATGAATGCCCAACCGTTGGAATACCATGTCTTTACTCTTCACGCTCTCTACATTTTAAAGATAACTGAGTATGAGATTTGTGCAATTTTCTCTTCTTTTTTTCTTTCAATTTTTGAGGGCTTCTATCCAAAATCCCGACCAAAAATATAATGGAAGAACTCAGAGCAAGAAAAAGTGATATAAGCAACTTTGCTTGTGAGGATTGTATTTATTTTCAATAGTAGATCGCATGAGTGCATGTTTGGTTTTGTAGTGGAAACATGGTGAACCACATTCATTCTAGTCAAAGCAAGGTGTTGGTTTTCAAAATAAAATTACTTTCAATTGAGAAAAAGCAAGGTGGGGTTGAAGTAATAGTGAGCTTGGTTTTGCTTCGTTCAGAATCAATTTTGAACTTTTGGTTGTGGCATTTTCTTTAATTTACCCCCCTTTCTCATTGTATATAATTTCACCAATCCAAAAACTCCATCAGCATTTCGATGTTGTCTATCACTAAGAAATACTTGCGAGCACACATAACCAGCCTATTGACTTGGGAAAGAGCAAGTCACTGAGGCTTTCGGCCAAATAATATTGATTGATATTACTTGGATATCTTCAGCTTTGTTGATGAATAGTTACTGTAACATCAGAAGGTTTCTTGTCACCGCAGAAGTACTGCGTGACTAATGAAAATGGCAAAAGTTGCCATTGATGTGGATAAAACTTTGCAAAGGTGATTATTAAGTACTAAATTTTCAAGTATAATTTTAATTTTAATTAAAGAATAACACACAAAGTAAATAAACCAAAGTTTTGTTGTTTTTTAAAACCATTTTAGACACATGCATTATGAAGTGTGCAATGGTTTGCTTATTGCAATATCATTGTTGGGTCCGAGGTTCATGACATGACATGCCCTCATCTCAACCAAAACCATCAACAACACAGCATAAACTATGAAGAATACCAGCAGCACATGCAAGATACTAGCAAGGCTATTTGTTGCACATCTTCTGCTTCACTCTCACTTTTGTGTTTTTCTTTCTCGTTTGTTACTATAATATCGTTGCTGATGGGTAGTTGGTCATTCTTTTTCCTTTGCATTTACTAGGGCATTACTTTGCTTGCTGAATAGGAGATTACGGCACAGGTGATCAGAATTTTACTTCTTAAGACTTCATTTATTATGGTTGTTGTAATTGAATTTTTTATTGTCTTCACTGGATTGAGGTTTCATGAGAGGCATTGAAGGTCATTGGTCTCTTCTTGTATCGTGGTCGTGGGTGCTCTGCTGAAATATCTTGCCTCCAAGGTTAGTTCTGTTTGATATAACTGAGTTACAGAAATCTCTTATTCTTTTATTCACCGTAATGTTTTTTACTCACTGAATTCTCGTGTTACTGAAATGTGCTTTGTTTGTGCACCACTTGTCTGCTATCTGTTACATTGTAATATTGTATATAACTCACCAAAATGTCATGCACTGAGGTTGCTTTATTACTCACCAAAATGACATGTACTGGTTGGTCAATGGTCACTTGACTACTAAAGCATTACATAGTTTTATTTTTAAAACTGTTGGATTAATGTAATATAAATAAAAGTGTAGGATTTAAAATTATTGTGTGGCTAGTATAACAATAGATCCTAAAACAACTGTTTTAATAATTTAAAATTATTAAAATTATAAATTATTAAAATTATAAATCATTAATATTATATCTTATTAAAATTATAAATTATTAATATTATATCTTATTAAAATTAAAAATTATTAGAAGTATAACTTATTAAAGTTATACTTATTAAATTTGTAACTTATTAAAATTATAAATTATTAAATTTATTACTTTGTAAAAGTATAAATTATTAACATTATTAATTTTTATAATTATAAATTATTTTATATACAAATTTATGTAATTAATAAAATAATTTTTACGTTAAAGAGGTTTAAGTCAGTAAATATTTAGATGGGAGGTTTATGTCAGGAATTTTTTTTTTTAAAAAGTATTATTAAAGTAAAAAAATTCACTATCTGTTACATTGTAATATTGTATATAACTTACCAAAATGTCATGCACTGATGTTGCTTTATTACTGACCAAAATGACATGTACTGGTTGGTCAATGGTCATTTGACTATTAAAGCATTACATAGTTTTATTTTTAAAACTGTTGGATTAATATAATATAAATAAAAGTGTAGGATTTAAAATTATTTTGTGGCTAGTATAACAACAGATCCTAAAACAATTGTTTAAACTTTAAAGTACGTAGTTTGAAGTGTTTATTATGGTGGATAGAAAAAAAAAATCTTTATTAAAGAATTAGGTAGGCAGAATAATATGGCAATTGGTAGTATAACAATAACTGATCCGCTGGGTAGAAAAGTCTTCTTAAAAAATGTCTACTTAAGAATAGTATGATTTTTAAAGTCCATTTGGATTCAAATTATAAATATTTTAAAGAATTTTTTTATTTAAAAATATATATTTATTTTTATAAAGAAACTCTTAAAAAAATTATAAATAAACTTATATTTAAACATACTCTTAATATTATTTAGCTTCAATCATAATCACTAGTTATATTTATGTCTTATATATATATATATATATATATCAATAGATCCTATAGCAATAGGCGACAAAAATCAAGTGGCTATGTGGTGTAATGAAAATGAGAATGTAATACGTAATTCAAATTATGTCTGCACTATAAATTAATACTTCAATCTTTTATGTTTTTCCTAATGATTGGTGATAATTGTCTCGTCAAAGATAGCTAGGGTGTTAGTGTGATTGTAGAAACATGTAAGTCACGTAATGAGTTGTGGTTAATGTATATATCAATGAAGTGATAGATGAATTTCAGATTTTACCTTAAGTTGTAAGGGAGATAACAAGTTGGGTTGGTTCGGGTCTCTAAAATAAAATTTTAAAAGTTGGATTGGTTCAGATCACTAGTATTTATGATAATAAAGAGGCACTAATATATATATTATCATTTTCAAATGGTAATCTTATGACTTTCTAATACTTGTATTATAAATGTAATGTGTTTTATTGTATATGACTTTTCCTTTTTCAAGTCAATCTTTTCTTCAAATATGATTATTAATTTAGTTTCGTACACTTAATAAACTAATAGAACCTCACTTTATCTAAATCTCGTTATAAAGCTTATTTTACTTCAAACAATAAGCACCGTGAGAAACTAACCGCATATATGATGAACAATCAACCTATGTTGAATATCATTTGATTGCATTACTCAACAAATAGAAAATTGTGTCATTATATTGCAACATAATTAAATATAATGAACAATCAACCCATATCAAGTTTAAGTGTGCAGTATTTACTACTAAATTTAACTCACAGAATATTATATACATGATTCTCGCTCAATCACGGATTGTCCCAAGATAATAGGCTGATATCACAATATTCAGCAAACTATTAGCTATCAGCCTAATACTCTCTCTTTTTTAATAATATTTGCCTATTTAAGTTTAATAAAATATTATTATAGATTAAATTAATAAGTTATTGTAATTTTTTCGGAAAATATTATTATAGGCAGAATAATATTTTTTTATTTTAATATTGTATTTCTAATTGTTTTTAAAAATTAAAGTATTTTATCGAATAAAAGAATGATACATAAAAGATATATATAATCAAAAAAGTAAAATTTAAAATAAATTAAATTTAATATTTAATTTAGATTTAGTGAAGACTAACTTAAAATGTCATCAACCTTAAAAGACTTATAGAAATATAAAATATGAATGATAACCATATTTATGTCAAAGCTAATTATCATTTTATAAACTTTACAAGTACTTAACAATATTATTGAAATGTTATAAAAATACCACTTTAGTAACATTTTTAAAATAGTCATTAATATATGAAAATATTACTACTAAAAGTTTTTAATAACATAAACTTTATCTAACATTTAATAAAAAGTTACAAAAATATATCGATAACATTTATTCATAATTTGACATTTTTATGCTGTTGCTTAAAAATACACATTGTTGTATTGAACAAACTCATATATAAGATCAAGAAAAAAAAAAGGAAAAAAGTTTAGATAGGAAAAAGAATGAGACTTTATATATATATAAATTAGTTGTTATATGTTAAATATGAATCATTATTTTGTATTAAAGTGTTTTAGAAAATTTTCTTTAACATGAATATTTGTAGGAATTATTTAAACTTCTTATCTAATTTAATTTTTATTTATAATAATTATTTATAAATTAATTATTAATATTTTAAAATAAATTATCAATAAAAAAAATTGTGCTACAATATAAATTATTTATCATAAATAAAAAATATGACTTATATGTTTAAAACTATCTATTTATACAAATTTTAAATACAATTTATATGTTCAAACATAGAGTATATATAGAGAGGAATAATTCACTTACTCTAAGAGTCAATTTACTTAGATATATTTTTGATGGAAGAGTATGAACCAAGGGTCCAACTACTAGAGCTATGGTTAGGAGATTGCATGAAGATTTGACTGCTTCAGAATTTGGTGGGCCTAGGATAATCTTCACATGGGCCTTACAGTGACCACCCTTTTATTATATTCATTGTCTTCATTGTGTAGTGTAGGAAAAATACATTTTGATCTTGTATTTTGGACCATTTAGATAAAGGTTTTTAGGCCTTAGGCTTAGTGGGTTTGTTTTCGAGCTTAATGGGTCTTGGGTATTTTAGTACCCAATATTGGACTCATTTTACTTCTTTTATTATTTCCTATTGTTTGTATTTGGTTAGCTATTGTATTTAGGCCTTTAGGGTAGGAATTTGAAAGATTACTAAAATAGGTAAGTGATGCTAAATCTAATTTCATTTAGGCCTTAGGCTTAGTGGGCCTGTTTTTGGGCTTAATGGGCCTTGAGTATTTTGGTACTCAATATTGGGCTCATTTTTCTTCTTTTATTATTTCCTATTGTTTGTATTTAGTTGACCATTATATTTAGGCCTTTAGAGTAGGAATTCAAGGATTACTAAATAGATAAGTGATGCTAAACCTAAGTTTCATTTAGGAACCATTTGAGTCACATGTTTTAAGCTAAGGGTGGCTGAACATGTGCACGGCCAAATCCCCTTCAAATGCTTGCTAAATGTAATTTAAATGCACCTAGGGACAATGATTCACAGACATGCACATGGAGACTGAAAATTTGAATTCAAAATTGCATTTGAATTCAAATTTTGGGCACCAATTGTGTGCCATGAGACTTGGTGCCAAGGAGGCCTAATCCGTGCCTATTTAAATGACGTGACTTCACTCTTGTATTCGGCATGTTTTCTTTTTAGGTATGAAGGAATATGTTTGTTTCAACATTTTCGTAGGAAACACAAGATAATTAGCTGCACCCTTTACGATATGTTTTGAAAAGGCTCCTGCCGTAGTAAAATATACAGTAAAAGTAAAATTACAAATGTTAGTGGCAACAAAGCTTTATCTTGCAGTAATAATAACATCAAAAGCCAAGGGAAGCTTGCACTATATATCACTTCAGTTTCCAGATAAAGCAAAATTTTGAAACACTACAAACGTCAGATGAATGAATGCCAGACTGCGGTAAGAGGAAACTATAATTTACAGGTCAACATACACTAGACAGGGAGAAGGTTGACCAATGTTTATTATTGCCTCATATTGACCTGTGATCAGAAAGCTCTTTTAAATTATCCTGCTCTTCTTTGATGGCTGGTTCATCCACCGCCATTGAGTCCACCCCTGACGCCTGAAGAGATGCAATTTTAACACCATCTGAGTGATCTTATCAAAGAAACTTTAGTTTATAAAGAACAAAACATTCAACCTTGGAGCATACAAATCTCCTAGAAAGGCGTAATAAATATCTTACACAGTCTAGATGTTCATGATAACTTTCCGGAAATTTAAAATATGCTCCTAATTTGTCAACCTTAAAGGAATTAATTCATCTTAAAATTGTGAAACTGGACAAATCACCGGACAAGCACATCCTTTGGCCATAAGAAGTGTCTCACCCAATCAATAGGAAAATAAATAAATAAAGGATACACTTTATCTTGAAAACATATATTTTGATTTGTTAAGCAATAATAATAGATAGTTGCATCTTTAAAAAGAACTCAATTCGGTGTTGGACAAATCCTTTTCATGGCTGAAAATTCTTAAACCTCAGTGACAACTGACAAGTCATCAACAAAGAACTGATATGAAATATAATTTTCATTAAATTTCACTATATTGTACTCGTTACTTATCTGATACTAATAGTTCATATGATTTCAATAATATTTGGATGATTATTTGGAACAATTTTATTGTTGTTAAGGTAAAGAAAACAGGTCGGGACATACTGCATCTTTATGCTCAGCTTCAACACATTCACTTTTCACCCTTCTGCGAACAGGATTGCTGTAAAATCAGATCTGTTAATAACCTCAAAAGAAACTGTCAAGATGGGCTGCAGAAGCAGGAGAATATACCTATCATCATCAACCTCCTTGTCAGAATCAGGGTCCCATCTTTCATCTCTATTATCTTGAACTTCATCTCTCTATATATGAAAAGTAGCAAGTAATTCTCAGTATTTACTCAACCACCGAGCTCATTCAATAATGGTAAATAAGAAAATAAAATCTAACTATGAAAGTAAAAATATAATAATCATTTGGATGCTCTTACATGTTCATGAACAGAATTTTTTTTTTAACTTTTATAATATACAATGCTCTAGACAGATTTCAACGTGATACGTGATAATTGCACTTCTAAAGCGTTTATAGTGCGGCCAAGTTTCTAACTGCATTTTGTCAAGCTGCCTCTAACATAAAAAATCTGCAGTTTTTTTTCCATTTCAATTGCAACCTTGACAGTTTGGCTATTAAACAAAGTTAAATATAGTAACTCCACTAGGATGACATTAATCTAAAAAATGGAATGATTTTAGATTTTGCTCTTTCAAGATCATCATTGAGAGAAAATATTTATTTCCTGAACAAAGTAGCAAGTTTACACCATGATATTTCCATTTCAAAGGATATTCAAGTGCTTTTCAACACATCTACGAGGAAAGTTGGCAACTACTTCAACAAATAATTAAGATATGACCTAACAAGAAGCGTTAAAAAAGTTGCATTGTATTTTTCAATAAATGCAAAAGCAACCTCTTGAAGCTCAGCATCAGGTGGTCGCTCCTGGAATGGAACACTTGGTGCATGTTGAAGCCTAGATAAATTATCGAGAAGTTTTGCTCTTATTTCATCCAATAAATGTCGGGAGTTCTTGTTTTCCATGTTACTTGGAGCAACATGAAGAGTATAGTCAGGACCAAAATATTCATAATACTCATGTTGAGGCATCTTATCATCTAGTTCAATCCCAAGAGCAACGCCAGTCTGATCAACAACCAATAGAAATTAAATTGTTATTCAGAGAACACTTTCTGCTTAAGAAAATATAATATTTTCACTTGGCACAAATATCAGGTATATAGATTACATAAACACTCAATGGTGCACGTACAGATTTCATATATTATGTTTCAATAAGACTGCTAAAAGCCAAAAAAAACATACGAAGGAAATACCTCCATTTTAAATTTAATTGCTGTTTTAGATGTTTTCAGTAACTTCATTTTAATAATGCTATACAACTAAATGGTCACCGCTGTTTGTGAGTTGTGGAGACCGCAGGGCATTTCTCACACCAGCAAAAGTGTATGCATGAACTATTGTGATATTTTCATTGATAATTTAGTGCCTGTATTCATGTCCATTGTATCCCATACTCTAAAATTATTACTAAGCACTTACTTATCAGGCATCAATATTCACCTTTTGAAGGGAGACAAAGACAACAATAAGATAATTCAACAAGGAAAAATATATGAAGGACCACACAACACAATACCTCGTAACACCAACAACGTGCCACATTTCTTATTGTATAGCCACCTCCCCCAAGCAATAGAAGGGGAACATTAAAAGATCTCATATATTTGACACACTCAGCATGACCTTTTATGGAAAGATTGAAACAACCTAATCTGTCCCCAGATAAAGAGTCGGCACCACATTGTAATACAACGGCACCAGGCCTAAAAATCTCCATAACCTTTCCCATTATTGGCTTAAACAAGGACTGATAGCTCTCATCATCAATTCCATCATCCAAGGGAACATTTAGTGAATAATATTTCCCTTTACCATATCCAATATCACGAATATCACCTGTTCCAGGAAAGTAATCCCCAAACTTATGAAATGAAACAGTCATGACCCTATCAGTGGTGTAAAAGGCCTCCTCTACACCATCACCATGGTGGATATCAATGTCCACATATAGAACACGCTGCACAGTGATAAAGAGAATGCAGATTACAATGAAAGAGCACTTAAGATAAAATATTTAATATAAAACATTTAAGGTTAATAAAATTCTAGAAGGCAATGTCTCCCAAAACCCACATCATAAACAAGTTCGAACGTAACCAGCTACATTAATGCAATAATGTCTGCCTCTAAAGTAAAAGCAAAATGCACATTAAATCCCCTTCAAAAACAGAAGGGAAAATCTAGCTCAAGAATCATCCTCAGGGACAGGAAAAGCAAATAGTCATCAAATGTTGACATAGAAGTAGGATAAGTTCTCTGAACTCAGATCTTGTTAAAAAGAAGTAAAATACTAATAAGTTTGTTGAAATAAGCAATATGGAAAGAAAACATCCTAAACAATTACTAATTAGTATTAGAGTTATTCTACTATGTATCTTTAGTTGTAAATTTTTCTTAAAGATGTAATTGTGTTGAGCTGTCACTTTCATGATAGCTGTCTTTGTAACGGAGTAGTTCTTTCCATTGTAGATGTGTTGAACAAGTCCCTTTCATGAAAGCTGTCCTTGTAATAAAATAGTCTTGTTTTTCTTTTACTCAGTGTAGCTATATGGACCCTCACAAATTGTAATTACTTTTCACTTTTCATCAATAATACTTTTTCTTTTCTCTCTCATTCTCTGAAACTTAATATGTTATCTAGACAAGGTTCGATTAGTAAGAACCATGGTTTCTGATTCTCCTCCTCCTCTGCCATTCAATGCGGAGCCTCGTTCTTTGTATCCGCTGTAAAACGCAGTGACGATAACTTTTCTCATTCTATTTTCAAGAAATTAGACTCGAAGAATTATCTTCTCTGGATTCAGCAAGTCTAACCAGTGATTAAAGGTTATCACCTTTAGCATTTTCTAGTAAATCCACAGATTCCACAAACATACCTCATGATTGAAGATCACAATGCATGCAAAGTCTCTGATCCGTATCGTGCATGGGAACAACAAGATCAACTTCTACTTTCATGGCTCCGGTCTTCAATATGGTGTGAGATGCTACCGCGAGTGATTGGATGCAAGTCTTCTTGGCAATTGTGGGATGAGATACATAACTATTTTCACTCTCATACAAATGCACGCGCTCGTCAATTGTGAACTGAATTACACAGCATTACTCTAGAGAACGATACTATTTTTGAGTTTCTTCTTCTAATTCAAACTCTCGTTGATGCTCTTACTGCCATTGGTGATGCAGTTTCTCTGAAAGAACTTGATATCATACTTAAAGGCTCACTAAGGAGTATGAATCTACTGTTTCTTTAATCAATAGCAAATTTTTTATCCTCTCTCCATTGATGATGTGGAGACTTTTCTTCTTGCACATGAATCTCTCCTTGAGAAATTCAAGAAGAAGACTCTGGCCTCTATTAATCTTACTGACTGAATCGAATTCTACAGTTGTTCCTTTATTCACGAATTCACCTCAAGCTAATATTGTTGAAAACAATTCTCAACCTAATTCTGATTTCTCTGTTGATCGAGGAAATTTCTCATATCAAGGTGGATGATTTGGTGGCCGCGGTGGTTGTTTTGGTCGAGTACGCTCGAATGTTCAATGTCAAGTATGTCACAAATATGGACATGATGCATCTACCTGTTAGCACAGATTTAAATGACATTACATTCCTATTGTTCCTCTTGATACTTCTGCTTCCAATAACTATACTATGACTCCATGGCACATGCCTAAGTGGCCTCCATATGCATTTCAATCTCCATTCTCCAATGAGTTTTGGTTATGCTCCTCCTATGGAACAACTTCGACCTCCATCTATGACATGGACCAAGCCAACATCATGACATAGTGGATCTGTTCAACAGACACAGTGGTATCCCGACTCAAGTGCCTCTTTTTGAAGGACCATATCAGATTATGATAAAGAATGGTCAAGGCCTTAATATTCCTTCCTTAGTGTTACAAAATTCTTTTCTCTTATTAATCCCACAATTCCTCTTGTTCTCAATAATTTGTTATATGTTCCTCAAATCACTAAAAATCTATTTAGTGTAAGCCAATTTTCCAAAGATAATTTTGTATTCTTTGAGTTTCATCCATATTTTTGTTTGGTGAAATCATTGGATACTAATGAATTTCTCCTTAGAGGCATTGTAGGTCCCGATGGTCTCTACAAATTTTTGTTGTTCTAACCTTCCTCAACTATTGCCTATCCTCATGTCCATAATTCTAGTAGCTTTAAAATGTTGAATGTAAATAATGTTATGGCCAATATAGCTTCTAGCGCTTTAGTACCTTTTTCTAGTTGGCATTCTAGATTAGGACATCCAAGTATTGATGTACAACATCTTGTTTTTCAACGATGTAATATCCCACCTATTAATAAAAGTACCTTTGACTTTTGTACACCATGTTGTATTGGAAAAGCTCACAGACTTCCCTCACCCATGTCTAAAGTTGTCTATAATAATCCTTTTGAATTAATATACAGTGACTTGTGGGGACCTGCACCCTTTACCTCTACATGTGGTTATAATTACTATCACCTTTGTGGATGCTTATACCCAATTCACCTAGAATTATCTACTTAAAAATAAATTAGAAGCTCTTAGCGTTTTCAAACAGTTTCACTTGATGATCGAAAAACAATTTCATTTTCCTATAAAAGTTATCTAAATCAGCATGGGATTCAACATCGTGTAATATGTCTACACACTCATCACCAAAATGGAATTGTTGAACGAAAGCATAGACATATTGTTGACCTTGGACTTACTCTTCTTGCACAAGCTCTTCTTTCTCTTACCTTTTGGGATCATGCTTTCACAACCAATGTGTATCTCATAAACAGACTTCCCACTTCTTCACTTAATTTTGAAATTCCTTACTATAAACTCTTTGGTGGTACCAGACTATCTCTTCCTCAAAGTCTTTGGTTGCTCTTGTTTTCGTTATCAAGAAAGTCTTTTTGGGATACTCTACCTCACTTAAAGGGTATAAATGTCTTGCTCCAGATGGAAGGATTTACATCTCTAAGGATGTTATTTTCAATGAACTAAAGTTTCCCTACCCAGATTTATTTCCCAATCCTAGTCATAAATCTAACCAACCAACCTCAATCTTTATCCCTTTTACAGTCTCTAACATTTTACTCTCTTTGTCCTCTCAAGTCACTAACTCCTCAACTCCTGGATCCCCTTCTCTCATTACAAAATCTCAACTTACATCTTCCTCTATATCTGTACACATTCTTAATCTCCTCCTTACAATGTTCACCCTTTGCAAACACATGCCAAGTCTACAATTGTAAAAACCCACCTTCATCCCACTTTACTTCTCACTCATGGAACCTAAATCCACAAAATAGGCCTTGACCAATCCCACCTAGCTTGCAGCTATGAAGATTGGATATGATGCTCTCATAAGTAACAATACTTGGTCTTTGAATTCCTTACCTGTACCCCTATAGGTTGCAAATGGGTGTTGAAGGTCAAGGAAAATCCTGATGGCTCTATCAACAAATATAAGGCCAGACTTGTGGCTAAAGGATTTCATCAGCAATTTGGTTTTGATTATACAGAGACATTTTCTCCTATTATAAAACCAATGACCATTGACTATTCGTATTGTTTTAACTCTTGCTCTTACACAAGGTTGGTCTATCAAACAACTTGATGTAAATAATGTGTTCCTTAATGGGCTAATTGAGGAAGATGCCTACATGACTCAACCACCTGGTTTTGAAGTTTTAGACAAAACTTTGGTCTGTAAACTTCATAAGGCTATTTATGACCTAAAACAAGCCCCTAGAGCATGATTTGATAAACTGAAATCTACTCTGCAACAACTTCAATTTAAACCATGTAAATGTGATCATTCACTCTTTGTTTACACCAACAATACTACAATGATCTATATTCTTGTCTATGTTAATGATATAATTATCACTGGCAATGACTACTTTACTTAAGTCTCTCACAACTCAACTCAATTCAGTTTTCTCTCTCAAGGATCTTGGCAATCTTGACTATTTTTTGGGAATAAAAGTAAAAGCCCAGTCTGATGGATCTTTACTTCTAACACAAAGCAAGTAAATTCAGGATCTTTTATCAAAGACCAGCATGGAAACTGCAAAACCTATATCTTCTCCTATGGTTGGTGGCTGCAAACTCTCTAAAGAAGGATCTAATTATCTTCTTGATGCTACTCAATATAGATCTGTTGTGGGTGCTCTTCAATATGCATCTATCACTAGACCAGAAACTAGCTTATTTGTTAACAAAGTTTGCCAACATATGTCCTAACTTTTAGAGGTTCACTAGACAACCGTTAAAAGAATTCTCAGGTATCTTAAAGGTACCATCTCTTGGGGACTTCATTTATAGCCTGCTAGTATCACTATTTCGCATCCTTTTAAGGCCTATTGTGATGCTGATTGGGCCTTAAACCCTGATGACAGAAGATCCACCTCTAGTGCTGTTGTTTTTCTTGGACCAAATCTTGTTTCCTAGTGGTCTAAGAAACATACTATAGTAACCAAGTAAAGCACTGAAGCAAAATATAGAAGTTTAGCCCTTGCAGCAACCAAAATCTCTTGGATTCAATCTCTTCTATTAGAATTGCATGTCTCTCATATAACTCCTACTATCTATTGTGATAATATGAGCTCATTGGCTCTTGCTCTTAATCTGGTTTTGCATACTCGAACAAAACATATGGAGCTTGATCTTTTCTTTGTTCGAGAAAAGATTATCAACAGACATTTACAAGTTTTCTATGTTACTGCCTCTGATTAGTATGTTGATATTTTGACCAAAGCTCTCTCTCCTACTCGATTCCTTTTTCACAGATCCAAGCTCAAAGTGGCCAACTCTCTTAGTTCTTACCCTCCTGAGCTTGCGAGGGAGTATTGGAGTAGTATTCTATGTATTTTTAGCAATAATTTTTTCTTTCTAATGTAATTGTGTTGAGCTGACACTTTCGTGGCAGTTGTCTTTGTAACAATATAGTTCTTTCTGTTGTAGATGTGTTGGACTTGTCACTTTCATGACAGTTGTCCTTGTAACAAAATAGTCTTGTTTTTCTTTTATTTTGTGTAGCTATATATAGTCGAACCCTCACAGATTGTAATTACTTTTCACTTTTCATCAATAATATTTTTTCTTTTCTCTCATTTTCTAAAACTCAATAATTAGGTTAAAATCCTCTATGTTTCTAAGAACACCACAGCACAAGCATGCAACACACCCTAATTTAAGAGTAGAAAATAGCTGGATTTTACAATTCAAGAAGAAAAAAAAAAGGAGCTATTAGTTTATTATCTAATATCTACTAAGCTTGCTGAAGGAATTAATTCACCAAAACCCTTAAACCATTAGGACAAAATCTAAATTAAAATGATAACAGCCATAATCAATAAGATCGTGTGGGAAATTAAATTTGGGAAACCTCGTGTATTTTGAGAAGTTCCAAAATAGCCAGCACAATGTCATTAACGTAGCAAAACCCAGAAGCCTCACACTTCTTCGCATGATGTAGACCACCAGCCCAATTTACTGCAATATCGCATACTCCATGGTTCAATTTTAGAGCACCACCAACAGAACCTCCTGCATATGTCTGGCAGAAAGAGTAAAGTCCATCAAATACAGGGCAGTCTTCACCAACATTAAACCTCTTTAGCTGTCTCAATTGATCTTGCTGTGTTTCAGGGGTGATGCCTCTCAAAAAGGCCACGTAATCATCAGCATGGAACTTGCAGAGGTCCCTGTCTTTAGCAGCAGTAGGCTTCAGGACCTGCATGTGTTGAAGCAATCCATAGTGGGCTAAAAGAGCATGTGTCATTCGAATCCTATGTGGTTTCATAGGGTGACCCTGCCCATAATAATAGTTTCCAACCTCTGGATCATAGAAATATGAAACCTTTCTCTTCACACCATCTGACCCTGATGGAAGGGAGTTCCCTCCACTTTCCATTACCCAATCTATAAATTACCAAAAAATAACAAATAATGTTAATCAATAATAATAATAATAATAATAATAATAATAATAATAATAATAGTTCAAACAAGCAACATGCGATAATTCTTAAGCACGAACGTTGAGAATTTAACAATGTAAGAACATACGAAATTGCAAGGTTCGTCACTGATCTATAACCGAAGTGACCAACAAGTTATTCTCTTGACTGCTTAACTCTAGCAGAAATAAATACAAATTAACTAGCCTTTATTATTATAAATTGAGGTTTCATCTAGCACCCTCAGACCTTAATTCAAAATTAGTCATTGATTTTCAGCTTTGTGATACTATGTGCACCATGTTTATAGACCAAAATAATAAACACTGGGTAGGCAGATTAGCCCATCATGTTTGGTTGTCAAGTTTAAATGATAACTTAAATTGGAGAAGTTTCAAAATATGTACGTCATTGTTGTATCTTAATGAAAATTGAACTGCCACAGTATATTCTCACTAAGAAATTCCAAAAACATGCTTCAGAGTTCAGACCTCTATTGTGAGCTAAAAACTAAAAAAAATATAAATAAATAAAATAAGTAAAAAAATAAAATAAAATAGACATGAAAGATCAGTGGAAGCATACATTCCAAATATCATCAAAGAAAGAACGCTAGAACAATGGAACATGGAAAATCACGTAACTTTTTATTTGGAATAAAATTTTTTTCCTTTTAGCTTTTTGAATTCCCTTGACATAGATATGCAAATTCCTGAAATAGAAATTTAAAAAAGTGCATCAAAGCGACGAAAGTTGCGTTTGCAAGCAATTTTTCTTTACCATGTGAACTGGAGAGATATTCTATTAGTTCAACGTGCATCAAATGTAAAGATGTTTCCCTGAGATGTTTAATGGCGCAATCAATAATGAACAAAATTCCATAGGTAAATTGGCATTAAATCCCGCGAACGTAAATTATTCAGTGGGTATTTAGTTGATTAAAATAAAGGGGGGGGGGGAAGCAATAACCTTTGCAATAATTTAATAATGTAGTCAAACAGAATGTGTAAGATGAGGAAAAAAAAAAAAAAAAAAGGAGCAGATGATTTAGTTTTCACTCCTCAGCCTCCGGATATCTAAGACGAAGAGAAAATAAGATCTGAAAAAGGCTATATGCCATTCAACAAGAAACTAAGCTGCAAATAGAAAGCAAAAACAGAAAAGAAACATCGACAAGGAGAGAGTTGATAGAGAGAAACTAGTTTCAAATACAATGACTTGGTAACCAGAAAGAAAAAATAAATAATAAAGCAACTATGGATGTCCATAGCGCATATTCTCTCGGAAGAAAAACAAAGAGAAATGTAGATCGGAGAAAAATCCAAGACAAGGAGAGAGTTGATAGAGAGAAATCTCACTTTCGTTCTAGCAGCGCAAACGAATGGGTGAGTTCAGAAATTCAGAAGTTCGAGCAGCTCGAGTCTCCGCCTCTGGATGTGATATTCAATTTATATACGCTGCTGTCAGAGTGCAGTGGACTATTGAGGAGAGGATTTGAACTGGGGTAAATTTGGAGTCTCCTATGTATATATAAAAGCCGAAAAAGGTAATGGCTCTCTCCCTCTGTATATACAAGGGTAGAGAAATTTCTAATAGTTATTCATTAATAAAATATTAAAAAATTGTGTATAATTATTTAAAAAAAATTTAAGATTTTTTTTATATATGAGAGTATAATGGTTTATTAAAAAATAGAAATCAAAAAATGGTTACATCTCTTATATCTCTTTTATCTGGGGTATAATGATCCATTAAAAAATAGAGACAAAAAAGCGATTATATCTTCTATATTCCTTTTATAATAGTTATAAATTTTTTTAAATAAATTAAAAGAGGAAAAGAAATAAAGAAAATAAAAAGTTAACACCCTGTTTAACGGCAATAGGAAAAAAAAAATAGAGTGCACGGAAACAATAGAAAAATAGACAGGAAAAATGATGAATTTTTTTTGGAAAATTAAATTGAAAACAAATAATATTAATTTTTTTTTAATTTGGATAGAAGAGGATGAGAGAAAATAGATTAAAAATAAGAATACGATTTTACCCTTGTATATAACATGTAATACATTCACACATAGAATTAAAAAAAAATGTAATACACATTGCGTAATGTTTTAAAAATCACCAAAAACAATCATATATGCGCACAATACAATTGATCGTGTTGTCCATTCAATTGATTGTCATTTGTTGACAATCCATTAGTTTGATTCTGTAGGAGAAACTGGAGTGAAATAATTGAATTTTGTTGACAGAAAAATGATTATCAACTCAAATTAAAACATATCACAATCAAGAATAAAAGAAAATGAGAACAAATTGGTGTGCTTTGATAAAAAATTTTACAAAAAAAAAATTAAAACAAAATACGCTAATGTTATCGTTGGTGTGCTTGGATAAAAATTTTTACGAATTTAAAAGAATTTGAAATTTTTGATATTTAAATTATTTTTATTTTAATTTTATTATTTTTATAATATTTTTTTAAAATAAATCGATTCAAATTTTAAATTTTTTTTGGTAAAGTACTTGTTAATTTAGATATGATAATTTAATTTTTCATGATAAAATTAATTTTAAAAATATATTTATATATTAAGATTTTTAATAATTAAAAATATAAAAAGATAAGAGATAAGATAAAATATATAAATAAAATAAGAAGAAAAAAATTTTAAATTCTTTTTTTTTTTGAAGAATTTGAAATTTTATTATTTCAAAGAATTTACAAATATTTTAATTTTAATTTTTTTTTATAAATTTTTCATTTAAACAAAATATTTAATTTTAAAAAAATTGAAATTCTTCGAAAAAAATTATTTTTCTATTTAAATTTCTAATTCAAACACGAATATTTAAGAAACACACAATAGCTTGAAGGGAGTTTTTTTTTTTTTTTTTTATTTATCATAGGCAGTTCATTTTTAAAAACGGTTATTTGTGAAAAGCAAAATTGAAGATTTCATCTGTGTATTATTTATTTGTATATCAACATAAAAAATAAAAATAAAAATGGATCAACACTTTTTCTTTCTCTTTTCAATATTTTACCTTGACCAACCATCCTCGTTTTAATCTCCACTTTATTTCTACTTTCTCTTCTCAATTTCTCCTTCGTTTCACTTCTTCCTATCAAAATGTAAATAAAATATGAAACCGAGCAGTTAATTTTGCAGTAATTAAATAATAAAAACCGATAGAAAAAAAATGTCAAAAAAATTCCATAAAATAAAATATTTATGTTATAGTAGTTCTAAGTTAATATTTATTTAATATTTTATTTTATTTAAATCTCTATATATATATATATATATTAGGAAAAAGAGGTACACATTCTCTCTCACTAAACTTTTTAAAAATAAAATAAAAAAGGAATAAAGAAGAAGAAAAATTAACACTTTGATTAACGATAAAAACAAGAGAAAATAGATTAAAAAAATATGGTGAAATTTTTTGGTTATTTAGTTTTAAAAAAATAAAAGAAAAAATTTAAAATAAATAATATTAAAAGATTAGTGATATAGTTGTAACATTTTGCACGATATAATTACATTTATTTATCTTCTTCATATAATAAATAATATGATGGAGATAATATATATATATATATATATATGTATATATATATATATGTGTGTGTGTGTGTGTGTGTAAGAAGGTTTAAACGAGGTGTAATTTTTTACTAAGTATTATACTATTTAATAATTTTATATTAAATGTGAATTTTATAAATTTAACCGCATGATTAAAAATTTATTCAAAATTTTATATTAATCTAAAATAATTTGATATTTTCTTCTTATAAAATAAAATTGACGTAATATATACATTTCAAAATATAATAAAATATGAAATACTTTTTTTTTGTTTAAGCGTGGATCAACCCCTACCGCTGAACCACACGTTTGAGGTTAAATATGAAATATTTTGATTACCTTTAAGTTGTTATTCAATTTAAACAAATTTTGATATAAACATATAAAATGATATAAAGTTATAATTTAACAATTAGATTTACAAAATTCATATTTAATATAAAATTATTAAATGGTATAATACTTAATAAAAATTACATCGATGTCGTTTTAACCCTTCTCATATATATATATATAAAAGAGAGAAATCCGTTTACTCTAGGAGCAGGTTTATCTAAACTTATTCCATTGAATAATTCATGTTACATAAAATTTCAATGATCTAATCGTTGAATTTAAAGTTTTTAATGCATATATCAAGTTTGCAAAATTTTAAAAAATTTGAAAATCATTTGATACTACATTTCATTAATTCAAATCAATGGATAAAGTGATATAAAATTATAATTCAACAGTTAGATTTACAAAATTCATAATTAATATAAAGTTATTAAACAATACGATACTTGATAAAAATTATATCAATGTCGTTTGAACCCTCCTTATATATATATATATAAAGAGATTTGTTTACTTCAGGAATAAGTCTAGATATACTTACTTGCGGAGTAAATGGATCCCTGTTCATATATATATATATATATATATATATATATATAATGTTTTTGTTATATATGTATCATTTATCATATTAAATTTATTTGCTTTGGATGGAAATTATGTTGGAAATAAAAATACAATTTTGTCCTTATACATGCAAACGTCGCATGTTTTTTTGAAAACTTTGGATCAATGGAATATGCGCATAAGACAATCGATTATTGTTGTCAATTTAATTATTGTCACTTATAACAATCAATTATTTTGATACTCTAGGATAAATTATAGTGAAATAATTGACTTTTATCAGCAGAAAAATGATTATCAATTCAAATAGAAAACATATTACAAATTTACAATCAATTAAGAGAGAGGGGAATGAGAACAAATCAGAGCATAGTACCTAGGTGGATCGAATCGGCCAACTAAGCAAATTAAAGAACAGACCAGCGTCACCGTTAAGAATATTTGAGAAAAACTCGTCGGCGCAAGAGTTTAGGGAGAAAGAATAGGGTTATTTACGAAAAATAAAGAATAGAGTTTCAATTGTGTGTTATTTCCTCGATGTTTTTTCATATATCAACGTGACTATGGACCCACTTTTTTCCCCTCGATATTTCATCTTAACCAAATAACCTCATTTTTAACTTCACTTTATTTTTACTCCCTTATTAAATTCTCACTCATTTCACTTTTACCGACTAGAGTGTAAATAAATATAAAAGTGAATTGTTTGTTTTGTAATAGTTAAATAATAAAAATTAAGAGTAAAAATTTCCATAAAAAAATATACACAAAATGGATTTTTTTTAACATTTATAAATTATTTACTTATCATTTATATTTTATTATGTACAACTTGATCACTCAAAAATAGTTTAAAAACTCATATTTTACGGTTTTTTTAAGATATTAGTTTAAATTTGGAAAATATTTTTTTAAGGAGACATTTGGTAAAATAGAAATTTTTCCATATCTAAAAATTATGATTTATGTAAATCATAAATTCTAGAAAGTATATGTTTTTTTGGTTAATCATAAATATTTTTTACAATGTTTATAAATACTACTTAGGAATTATAAATTTTTATTATATTAACAAAACAAAGGTAACATAAATTTTTAGCATAATAAAATCTTTTTTTTTTTAATTTAAGAATGTTATATTCTCACCTATTTCATGAAAATAATTTGACGAGAAACCTGTATAAAAAGATTTTCGAGAAGTAAAAAAATAACATTCCTAACTTTAGTTTTTTTAGAAAGGTAAAATTGTTTTGCATACTGAGTATTTATAGTAAAAATTGCATATTAATTATTAATCTATAATCTATATTTTTTTAGGATTTTTTTTAATGAGTGGGTTTGTAAATTTTTTTTAACTTCTCTTCTTATTCAATTTTTATATCAATTTTTATGAATTAAATATTAATATTTTAAACTATTTGTCAATGAACAAAAATAAATTATTTTTTAATAAAAAACATTTATAATAAATTAAAAATATAATATATATATATATATATATTAATTTTAAATATAATTTATATATTTAAGTATAACATTTATTTATATATAATTTTAGTTATATATAATAAACATATCTATATATTCTAGATTCTAAAATATTAGTTAAGAATTAACGAAATATTTTTTTTGTAATGTTTTTTTTAATTGAGCTAACGTAACATCTAAAAAACTAGGCAGTATAATGTTTTTTAAATAATTAAAAGATTATAACAGGGATAGAAAAAACTAACGTGTATATGTGCAATTAGATGAAATTTCAGCCTAATTTTTGCTGAAATACAATTTTTTAATTATTCTACTTTCAGTGCAGTGCGATATAATTCTCATGTAAACTGTGTTCTCTTGCTGTAGCTTACCGCTGGGGCTAAGCGGAGCATCAGTGTGCAAACACCAAACAGTACCAAAACTTAGACCGCATGCCATGGACTCCCAAACACACAGGGTAGGTTCTTAACTTTTGTATTTTCAGTTCTTCCGCGTTCTGTCGATCGTCATTGGTGCCTGCCGTTTACTCTAGGTTTCTTTTATTCCCTCAGGAGGAAGAAGGGGTGGAACATCTCTTCCAACGCTTGCAGGATTCCTCAGAGGATGCATCAACGCATTTCGATATTGTATGCATTCGTTTTCGCCTTTTGATTTATTAACACTGGCACACTTTCGAGTTATTCATTTATAATAAACTACTCGATTATTCAGGGTTTGTTCTTATGGGAAAAAGGAGGAGAAGCGAAGGAAAAAGCTGCTGAACATTTTATTCTATCGGCCAAATTAAACCCTAAGAGTGGAGAATCTTTCAAATATCTGGGCCATTATTATGGCGGCGTTTCCCTTGATACTCAGAGAGCTATCAAGTGTTACCAACGAGCCGTGGTTCTCAATCCCGATGATTCTGAGTCTGGGGTAAGCCTTGTATTTTTTTCTGTGTTCTGTTTTGAAGTTCAATAATTACTTTAACATTATGGAAAAATAAATTGATAATTTTCCTTTGTTGACTTAACTTTTTTTTTTTTTTTTTTTCATATCAGGAAGCTCTATGCAATTTACTTGACCAAGGGGGAAAAGAGAGTTTGGCGGTGGTGGTATGCGGGGAAGCTTCTGAAATGTCACCGAGGGCTTTCTGGGCATTCCGAAGATTGGGTTTCCTGCAGGTTTTTTCTTCGATTTCTTCTGCTTCTCTAGAATTTATCAAGGCAGATTCATACTTTCATCTTTTCTTAGGTCACACCCGTTTCTACTGCACATTGTAGACCTGTGTAACAGCTGCGTTCTATAGCATTTTCATGTCAAAGTTGATCAAACAATTTAACTTTCAAGTTGAAATTCTTTTGACATCTGTCTATATATTCAACAAATCTCTCTTAAATTAACAGGCTTAACACCTGCCATTTATTGATTTTTATTTATTACATAACAGGTTCATCAAAAGAAATGGTGTGAAGCTGTTCAGAGTCTTCAACATGCCCTACGAGGCTATCCTACATGTGCTGATTTGTGGGAGGTAATTTCAGCTCTCCTTTCTTTCATTGGATTTGCCTTTCCACCGTTTTTTTTTTAATAAATATTTTAAACTTTGTTAGGCTTTGGGCCTCGCTTATCAGAGACTGGGCAGGTTTACTGCAGCTGTAAAGGTACCTCCTTGCTTGAATTCCTTTTATATCTTCTGAATGACTGATCCCTCAATCACTTTGCTTATGGGTTCTCCATCAGTCTTATGGCCGTGCAATTGAGTTAGATGGTACGATGGTCTTTGCTTTGGTTGAAAGTGGAAATATCTCTTTGACTCTTGGTTCATTTAGCAAGGTACACTTTGCTAATCATTAGTTGTTATCCTGATGCCTTGTCCAGCATTATTGTTCTCAGTTGTTGAATTTCTTCCTTCCATTTGTTATCCGTCAGTTTTTTGCAAGGATGATACTACGACCAGAAGATGTTTGAAATCTGTCCTTTTCCTAATTCCTATGATATGATTGTTAGTATCAATTTGATCATGTTAGTTGAAGCTTAAAACAATAATTCAAGAGAACATGGAAACTTGTCTAGTTGTTTTCAGTAATTCAGTGTATTAAAAAATATATTATATTCTTACTTCTGCCCATTATAGTTACTGCTTGTTCTATCTCTTTAGTTGTGTCATTATTATGGTTTGCATTTCATCAAACACCATTAAATGGGTCAGAATATGTTATGTATTTAGAATATTTTAGAAGATTGTTAAAAAATTTTGTGGAATCAAATAGTTCTATAATTGAAACAATCTTGAGTTGTTTCTAGGTTTTCATTGTGGTCCTAAATTTGTCTCCTTTTTTAATAAAGGTTAGGGTACCTACCAAGCTTAAAGGCTAGTTTTATTGTACTGTTATACATCCAAATATTTTCTATGGTAGTGAATGTTGAGCTTTAAAGGGACAACTAGAGAAAAAGGCGGGAGTAGTAGAATTTGGAATGTTAAGATGGATACCCCACAAGAAAAGACAGAGTATGAAACAATGATGAAGAAATCTTAATGTGACACCAATTAAGGAAAAGATGATAAAAAATCAGTTACGGTAGTTTGAATATGTACAAAGAAGGCCAGTGGAGAGAGTAGATTGTATGATTTTTAGTCTGCGAGAAAGGATAAAGAGACCAAAAAGGATATTGGAGGAAGTTAAGAGGGCTCCTGTAGTGAATAATATCTATGAAGATTTAGTCTTTAACTAAGCCGAATTGATGTACTGTGATCTATGCAATGGACCTCACCTAGTGGGACAAGACTTTTGTTGTTTATTTAATAAAGGTTAGTAGTCATGTTGTATAGGTGGGATATGGCTGGTACCTATGGTACTATACCTGTAATTGGCTAACGAGGTGTTTGGCAACTTTCAAACTAGTTTAACTTTAAAATGGTACAAGATGGAACCAATTACAGAATTCATTATGGGGTGGCGATTGGATTCATTATTCATCCAATTCATCTATATCTAAATCCAGTCCAGGCTGTCCAATTATACAACAACCAAAACTTTTTCCAGTAGGTGGGGTTGCTTACATGGATCAAATGACACGATCCATCCAATAATATTTACAGAATTAATGAATTGAAATTGGATTAGTTTTAGCTAGTGCATGGATATTAGGCTGATCAAAATATTTATCGAATATCCATAACTTTAAAGAATGAAGTGTATTTAGACAAAAAAGGAGTCTAGATGTATTTATTTGAGAGAAATACAAAGGTGGAAAATAAAATGTACTAATTTAGTGTGCTTGGTCTTTAAATTATTTGTACCATGCCAGTCTTGACCTAATTCTTAATAATTGGTTCCACTAAATTGGTCCTTTCCTTTAATTAAGCCCTGTAACTTCAACAGAATTGTAAAGCTTGCTATATATGATGTGAATGCTGATGAATGAAGTGTCTTCAGCATGACTATGGAATTTTGGCTGTTACTTACCTATTATTTATTTTTGACAAGTCAATAAAGGTAGAAAGGGGATGATAACCAGTAATCAACCGGAGCTATGATGCACATATATGATACATGTATTGGATATGATCTGGATCCGATATGACAATACCATTATTCTAAAAATATATAGGAATAATAAAATACATATAAGATCGTATCTAACACATCTAGATATATATCAGAATTCGCAACACATTATAAATATTCAATTGCAATTCTGCAAATCCAAATTTAGAATATACTTCTTGGACCTGGACATTACTAAAAGCAAAACAAAAAATTATAAATCATTTTCATAATAAATTACTTCCTATTATTTAAAAACAAGAATAGTATTATTACACTCATTTCTTTCTTAAAATCATCTATAAAGAGTACAATCTTCATTTTCGGTTCGTCAGGGGACAATACTTCTATTTTCTATGTTATACATGCTTATTTGTTTCATGTAGTTATATTGGATTTTCATAATTTTTTTAAAGCTTTGATACTTCACAAATATTCTGACAGTATTAGTGAAGTATCAAAGAGTATGAATATCAGATATGGATATGTGAAGCAAATTGGAATATCAATTCTCAATAGAACTAGAGTGGATAAGAAAAATGGTAGGGCCTTTAGTTAGCATTATTTGGGAATCTTTGAATTTGGTAAAGTCCTATCCCCTTGCTGCAGAATTTTTTTATTATGGTTATGGCAGGACTTATGTTAGTTCTTTTAAAGTTTTATTATCAAATTGGAGCCCCTAGGAAGTGCAGAATATGGTATAAATTACTGTCTCTAAATCCATGCTTGAAAAATCTGAAATTGTGCTGTATCAAACAAATATGATGAAGTTATTCCATTAGTGTTCAGCTGTTTCTATTTATTGAAGATATGTGTAAATTGTGAGCCTTCTACATAAAGGGGGTTGAACAATTTCGACAAGCTTTGGAGATTTCACCACAGTGTGTGCCTGCACAATATGGACTTGCTTTGGGGCTGCTTGGTTTGGCCAAAGATTGCATTAACCTAGGAGCATATCAATGGGGGGCTTCACTGTTAGAGGTTTTTCTCTTCAAATTTTTGTTTTTAATAACTTTTATGTTGTTTCTTATTAAGTTAAGAGTTAATCACCTATACACTGCCAGTGTAAAGTTTTTTTTACACTGGCGACCAATTATATCTTTTAATTGTGCCATGTCACTGGCGACCAATTATTTACTTTTAACAGTGACATGACACAATTAAAAGATATAATTGGTTGTCAGTGTAAAAAAACTTTACACTGGCAGTGTATAGGTGATTAACTCTTAAGTTAAACCCTTTCATTTTGATAACATCATTCAACTGACTGCAGGAAGCATCTGGGGTTGCAAGGGAAAGTGCTAATATTTTTAGGAATATCTCATGTATATGGAAACTACATGCTGATATTCAGGTATTATTTACTTTTTCAGTCATAAAAAGTTTTCACTGTCTTAATTTTTCTTCTTCAAATTTTAGGTATTATTTGTTGTGACAGTGATACTTGTCAATTTGTTAGTATGATAATATGGATTTTTCTTCACTTCTCATGTATGATTCAATGCTATTTGTTTTTGGTCTGTGGTAGCTTGCATATGCTAGATGCTATCCTTGGATTGAGGATGTCCAAGAATTGGAATCTAATAAGGAAGCTTTCAATGATTCTATCATTTCTTGGAGGAGGACCCGCCTTTTGGCTGCAAGACATGCAAGGTTTTCATATCAACGAGCCTTGCACTTGTCTCCATGGCAAGCAAACATCTATGCTGACATTGCTGTGACTTCAGATCTTATTACATCATTGGACACAAATTACAAGCAAGACATAAATGCATGGTATGTTATGTGCAATTTAATTATTTTTAATGACCTTCTTGACTATTATGCTCCCTTCAACATAGTTGTTTTAGCAGGCAATTGGAAGAGAAGATGTCTATGGGAGCGTTGCTACTTGAAGGTGACAATTATGAATTCTGGCTGGCATTGGGATGTTTGTCTGATCATAATGCACTAAATCAACATGCTTTGATCAGAGGATTGCAATTGAATGTATCTCTAGCTGTTGCTTGGGGATATCTTGGGAAGGTATTGTCATGTGTCACCAGCAAACATAAAAACCTGACTTGTTAATTTCCATCATCATTTGATAGAACACCAATTAATAAAAGTAATAAAAGACAATATTAAACCCTAAAATCAGTAATCACACACTACAACAACACTCTTGTTGTCCCAGAGACAAAGTCTCCTACACAAATACAGCAGTACGCTTTGCTGTCCCTGGGACTAAAATCTCCTACAGAGAGTATCTCTATCCACAAACAGAAAATAACTTCACAGTCACACTCCTAATTACATATCACAAAAAATAATTACAATAATCTCAAATATCCTAATTATTGTAATTACATGATTATGATTTTTTCTTAGATTTTGGACTTAGGGTCTAACTAAATCCCTCAAAATCGGTCTTGTACATTGAGGATTGCCCAAAATTTATAAGCATTACTTAGGTCTTATTTCTAGTCAATGCAGTCTTATCCCTACTTAGGTCTTAATGTGATTATAAAGCTTGGGAATCCTAATCGGTTTGCACATTAATCTGATAGGCTGCAATTAAGTTGAGCTAGGGGTGACCAAAGTTAAGGCAATTTTCCAACAATAAGCCTATGTACAGAAAACCTAGACACCATTGTCATGCTTTCCACATGATTGGATTTACAAATCAAATCCCATTTTTTCCCCACATGCCAAACACACTAAAGGGACTTTTGTTACCTTGAATAAAAATTTTAAAGAGTGAGTTGCTCTTGGCTTCTGATAGTCATTATCATTTTTACTCTGGGTAATCTCTACCTTAAAAAAGTTATAGCTCCCCATCCTTGTTGAATATTGGTTGATCCACATCATACATGGGCAAGAATTGTTTCATCACCACCTTCCATGAGGCTTCCCAAGATTGAAATGTGCAAATTTCACCATTGCCACAAGCTGAGAATGCAACTTCTTAGAGTCCAAACAGCTGCCTGTATCTTCTTCCTATCATGCTGTGCAAGTGGTGTTCAATGCTGATCATCCATCCTTAGGCTTCTCTTGTAAGCATTGAATTGTGTTTGAATTCAGTATCCACAGTTTGGAGCTTGATACTACTTTGTTAGAAACTGATTTTTATTGATAAGAAATAGTGGAGACTAGCTCCATACAATAAGATAATCTTTTGCTAGAACAGAAAAATACCGAAAATAAATAATAAATCTATAATACAGACAAAGGCCTATATGGCTATATTCATTCTGATGGGCAAGAAAGTCAACCACAACCAGAACCACTGGCCTTACAAGTCTATTACAGAAAGAAAAAGGCCCATTGACTGTGATTAGAATTTCTGTTAACAGGTTATAAAAGTTAGTTAGCATAGCAGACAGTTAGAGAAAAGTCTATAAATAAAACCTCTAGAGTGTGATAGGGGTTTTATCTGGAGTTTTGACAGTATTGACAGGGCTAATTTCCCTGTGTGAAAGGAGAGTGCTTCTTTGTACATTTCTGAAACATTCTTTCGTAATAAAGAAATGGAACCATTCTTTTCACTTTCGTTCTCTCTGTCTCTCTCATATTCCCATCATCTTTTTTTCTTTCTTTTTCAAAAGGATTCCTAACACATTCCCTTGTCTCTCAAGTCATGCTCGCGCCTCCTCTCTTCCTGCCCTTTCCAATATCCTGCCTGATTCGTATACTTGCTTTCCTCACTACCTGCCACATGCAAGGTGTAAGTAAATTAAAAAAAAAAAAACATCTTCATTTTGCACTCCTTGCCTACATGAGTGATTATCTACTGCCCCACGCCCCCATCTATTTCTCATAATATGCACCTTAGATATATGTGGGTGGTGGGTTGTGTGTGTATCTAACACTAAGTTATTCATGGTTTGTTAACATGGCAACCTCTGTGCATTTTGTACACATTGTGATGCACAACATTGTACGGAAGACATTGGAAATTCTTTGTTTCAGCCTCTTTTTGTTTGTTAATGTTTTCAGCTATATCGTAAAGCGGGTGAAAAGCAATTGGCAAGGCAAATGTTTGATCGTGCTAGAAGTATTGATCCTGGCCTTGCATTGCCATGGGCAAGCATGTCAGTTGAGTCTTCTGTGAGGTATTGTTCTGGTTTCATTTATTTTGGCATTATCATGTAGCAGTAGCATAAAAAGTAGTTTAGTCTATGTCAATTAGTTTACTGGTTTTCTAACTATATACTGTCTTTATACATTAGGGAGCCTGAACCAGATGAGGCATTTGAGAGCTGTTCACAGGCTGTGCAGATAATCCCTGTAATTTACTGATTCCTATCAGTTAACATGCCATGTATTAGGGTTATATATATATATGTGTGTGTGTGTGTATATATATATGTATGTAACTATGTATGTATGTATATAGTATCCTATTGCTGGGATGTGGTGTTTATTTATCATTGTTGTTTTAGTTGAATATTAGGATGTCAGTGTTACAAATCTAGGATGGAAAAGTAGATATTATTTTCATTGATTCGAACAGAAAGAACAAAAAATAGGAGAGTGATCTCTTCCAAGGATTTCCCTTCACAAGTTATTTCTGTTATCAAGGGTTATGAGTTTCCTTATTTTCTTTATTTCCCAATTTATTTGCAGTTAGTTATGATAATTATAGTAATTAAGAAATTAGATTATTGTTTTCCTTATTTTTGTATTTACCCAGTTTCCTTATTTAGGTCTCAGCAGGGTCTATAAAATTGTATCTGATTGACTATGACTACTGCCACATTTAAGGCAGTGATACAATAATGCACAGCTACATGTACAGTGTCAGGCAGTGATACAGTGACGCACAGCTACATGAAAAGTCTAACACGTCTATGTACCCTCAGATACCACTACTTTCTAAGATGCATTGAACCTAGCTATACCAAGTATCTAGGCTACTTTGAAAAATAAATGTTTAACAAGCTCTTTTTTCTTAACATGCTTCTATTTCCAACACAAGTAACTAAATAATTATGATATCTAGCATAACTAATTATTGTAACACCAAACAGTCGGGGAGTTTTCTCTCAACACTTGTTTCATTGATTTATGGGATACATATTTTGGCAAAATATTTTTCTATTGTGTGTGTTGAATTGTTATTACTTCCTTTAAAATATTTATTGATTACTGTGCAGTTAGCTGAATTCCAGCTTGGGCTCACTAAGCTTGCTTTGTTGAGCGGACATCTCTCATCTTCACAGGTAAGATTATATTGTAGATTAGTGATTTTTGCTGTGGTGATGCGATGTCTCTTCTGAAGCTGCTACCTACCTTGAAATTCATGTCAATGCTGCATTTACACATCACAGGTTTTTGGAGCTATTCAGCAGGCTGTGCAGCATTCTCCTCACTATCCTGAGTCCTATAATTTATATGGGCTGGTTTGTGAGGCACGAAATGATTATAAGTCTGCTGTTACTTTTTATAGGTTAGCACGTCATGCAATTAACATTGGCTCATGGTGTATTCAAATCTCACATATCAGGGACATATCAATAAATTTGGCCAGATCACTTTCTAAGGTAAACTATACTAGAGATCTCTCAGTCTTGTATTTTTGAAACCTCTGAATGATGTCCATAATTCATTCTATTTGATACAGGCAGGGAATGCTGCTGATGCTTTGCAGGAATGTGAAAATTTGAAGAAAGAAGGTTCAGATTTGGATTTTTCAATTCACCTGTTAAGAGTTCTTCGATTTAGTTGTTTTATATTTTGAAGTTTTAAGCTGCCTTGTTGGGATTGAATGTTAAATCACTCTATTTTCATGATGTTTTCTAACTATTGTTTGTTGTTGAGAATGAGTTATAAAGTGAATCAAAGCTGTTAGAGTGAACTGCCAAACGCAAAGCATGTGATTTGGGGATGTATTGCTTGTGTTTTATAGCCGTGATTTTGTGTGAAGCATGTTTTGACTGAGAATGGTGTGAAAATTTATTTGAATTTTTCATGTTTTGTTAACACCATGGTATGATATATATTTTTTAAGGGGCACTTGATGAAGAAGGTTTACAAGTATATGCTTTGTCATTGTGGCAACTTGGTGAAAATGATTCGGCTCTCTCTGTAGCTGGAAGTCTTGCTGCAACTCTTTCTTCTATGCAAAGAACATCTGTGGCAACATCCATTTGTTTCATTTGTAGATTAGTATACTACATATGTGGTCTGGATGCAGTCGTCACTAGGATTCTGAAAATGCCAATGGAGCTATTTCAAAGTTCAAAAATTAGTCTTGTTATGTCAGCTATCAATGCTTTTGATGAAAAAAATCGTCTTGGATTTGTTGTCTCAAGTAGACAATATTTTCTCAAATCTCATGAAGAAATTGTTGAGATGCACTTTTTAACAGCACTTAGTAAACTGGTATTTTTTCGCCTCTTAATTTTGATTCTTCTTGTCTCGTCTGCTCCCCCAACAAACGACCTAAATGAAGACATGGAAAAATGTTATTTTATGGTTTGGACAGGTGAAAAATGAGTCTGATTGCTGCCTTGACATTCAGAGTGGAGTTGCTCACCTCAGAAAAGCCCTGCACATGTTCCCTAACTATAGTTTGATAAGGTAGTTCCTTTTTTAACAAGACCAGTATTCAAATAGTATTCTAATTTAGGCTAATTGTACCTTTGGTCCTCCTCTAATATTGAATATGCAATTTTGGTCCTAGTGCTAAATGTTTATCTGTTTAGGGTTAGCCTAGTGGTTGGGAGGGGAAGGGTCGGGGTAGTTAGAAGCATGAGGACCTAGGTTCAATCCTCATTGCGACCATCTTTGTAATGTTTCATATCTTTACAAAAAAAAAATGTTTATCTGTTTACCTTTAAAATTGTAACTTCCAACTTTAAAGGTCAGCAAATAAATATTTTGTAACATTGGTATATGAGTCATGACCTGATATCAAATAGATGACATTAAGTAAATGACATCAATTAATATTTAATAATATATAATCAAAATTACACTTTTAATTACCAATTTTATCTCATAAAAGTGGTAAAATGATATGAAAATATAATGAAAATGAGGACTAAAAGTGTAATTTAATCTAAACATTATTGAATATTAATTGTAACATTGGTTGATAGGTTTAGGGTTAGGGAAGAAAGAAGAGAGAGAAAGAAGGTTAAGGCTAATGATAGGATGTAAATAATACAAACCGTTAACTCAATAATACCCAAATTTGGTCAAGTACTAGGACAATCCTTAGCCCACTAGTAATAACCGTAGTATCTGTTAACTGTCCATAAACTATCCTTTCGATAATTAGGTGCCTGTAAGTTCCAAATCTGATTATGTCCTTGAAATGACATTAAAGAATTTAGAAAATTGAGAGTTTTGTGTGAACGGTAAATTTTAAATTATTACTGTACACTTGCACATTAAAAATATGTTCTAGCATGCTTCAAGGTATAGAAATTTTTGTTTGTGAATTTTAAATACATAGTTATCAATAGCGGCTGGATAGCGACGAAGCGACTCCATGTCGCTGTAGAAACCTTGGAGTGCAGTGATTTTGTGTAGCGGTTGATGCAGGCAAGATCATGGCAGAGTGGAGTGACTCTATCTTGGTTTGGTGCGGCAATCTAGAGTGATTTACCAAAAAAAACCCAAAAATATCCTCATTAAATGAGAGTATTTTTTCCCTTTCATTGAATTTTTTTTTATCCAAGTGTGAATCAGTGGCTGTAGGTCTTGTATCTTGACCCATTGAGTGACACACTTTATCTTTTGTCCTAAGCCCATAACTTCTCTCTTTATTAGATGATGTGCTTCTTCTCCGGTGGTTGGTGATTTTTGTCTTCTCTGATGACTCTGGCATTTCTCCAGCGATAGTAATAGTTGTCTCTTCTTTAAAAATGATAAATGCATGAATATAGTTATTTTTCTGTTTTGTAGCTTTTATATATATTATTAATTATTTAATACATATAAATATAATATTAGAATAGTGGTCATCCTGCTAACCGCAATCCCACTATCCTACTTTTTGGGGTTGGCTACTCCGCTCTACCATCTAGGATTGATAACTATGTTTAACTGTAAATTCTAAGCTGTTGAAAATAAATGTGCTAGTGAGAGAATGAAAGATTTAGAAAGAATGGACAGATATTGGGAGGGAACAGGTAAAAAATGCAGCATATTTTTCTAGTTGCCTTTGTCAGTAGCATATATTAGACTGGTATGGTAATAGTTAGCAAAACTATGCACTTTATCACCCCTTTTACCCTTGTTCTTCTCCTTCCTCACTTATGATTTGTAAGTTTGCAATTGAAGGAAAGATAACAAATAACTCTTCCATACTTCTAAATTCTAATAAACATACCATGCCTCCCGAGTTTTTGGGAATGAGTCATTGTTGGTGTTTTTTCTTTGCCCAAATTTTTTAATCATGTTAATCTTGCTAGCTTTGCTTTTGCTGACATCCTTTCTATTGTTCATTTCTTTTGGAACAGGAACCTTCTTGGTTACCTCTTGGTATCCAGTAATGAGTTAAACAATTGTCATGTGGCAACAAGGTGTTGTAAACTGGACCATCTTGATCTTTCTGATCAAAAAGGTTTGAAATCAGCTTCTGATATTCATGGTGCTGGAGCAGTTGCTTGCTATACCACTGGCAACAGCAGTCCAAAGTTTACTTTTCCAACTTGTATAAAGCAGTGTTCCAATCATCCTGGAGCTATCAGATACCTACAGAAGTACCAATTTTTATTTTTCTTTATGCCCTGTAATTGCCCCAGAAATTTGTTCCTATAGTATTATTTTTAAATACTTCCTAGTCAGAATATGTATATATTACTGCTAGATCCATTTGTTTCATGTTATATTGGGAACATAAGTATTTCTTCAGGTCAAGTTTGAGTATAAGAAATGTAGTTTTCTGCTCTTGGAAATAAATCTCTGAGGATTTGTCACTTGTCTAGTGGCTCTATTTAAGCTATCTACATTATCCCTGGACAAGAATAATTATCTTACATTTTTCTCAAAATTGCAGGTGCTTTCATCAGAAACCATGGAATCAAGATGCCTGTTACTTGCTTGTTCTGAACTATCTTCAAAGGGCTCGTGAAGAAAGATTTCCTCATCATCTTTGTGGCATACTAAATCGTCTAGCTCATGTTTCCCTTTCAAATGAATTATATAGCAGGACAGAAATGTCGTATCAATATAGATACTTTCAACTTCTACTTTGTGCTTCTGAGATCAGTTTACAATGTGGGAATCATATGACATGTATCACCCATGCCAGAAAGGCTTCTGAACTTGAGCTTCCTGATAATTATTTATTCTTTGCACATCTACTATTGTGCCGTGTGTATGCCATGATAGGTGATCATCTAAGTTTTCAGAAAGAATATATAAGTTGTATGGATCTCAAAACAGATTATCACATTGGTTGGATCTGTCTCAAACTTATGGAATGTCATTATGAACTGGAAATTGATTCAAATGCCATAGACTTGAACTTTGAAGAATGTGTTAAAACAAGTGGAAAATTGTGGAATATGTGGATGGCTGTATATAACCTGGTGAGAGGTATGATTTCCTTGCAGAAGAGGGATTTAGTCTCCGCAGAAGAGTTCATAGCACAGGCTTGTTCATTAGAAGGTTTTGAGAGCTGCCTCTTTCTATGTCATGGTATGTATTTATTTCGAGCGAGAGCTTCATTTAACTAATTCTTTTGCATGCTTTCTATATAGTGCTACCTGTTAAAAGAGGGAAACAAAGACCTCATTTTCTGAATATGCTTGATTGAATCTCCCACTTAGCTGATTGATATATTTATTATAGTAGTGAGTACGAAGATAATAAATGACAACAACTATTTTCAAGAAAACAATTAAAATATCACTTCATAAGATACATTGAACACGGCTAAAAACTGTAACTAATATACTTGGAAGAGTAACAATCATTAAATACTCTTCCAACACTCCCTCAAGCTGGAGAATAAATGTTTTCCATTCCTAGCTTGCATATTATTCTCTCAAAATCTGGACAGCACAAGTCTTTAGTAAGAAATATCTTCATGTTGTCTTTGTGAAGGTACATATGGAGTACAAGTCAAACCATTGCCAAGCTTTTCCTGATAAAATGCCTATCCACTTAAATGTGTTTGGTTCCTCAACATGATTATGAGCTATGCTGATTGCTGACTTATTATCTATAAGCTTCATAGGTCCATCCCTTTTAATCTCCAAGTCTTCTAAGATAATTTCCAGGCAAAGCAATTCGCATATACCTTGTGCCATAGCCCAAAATTCAGCTTCAACACTAGATCAACCAACTTTTTGTTTTTTACTTCTTCAAATTACCAGGCTTCCCCCAAGAAAGGTATAATATCCGGTAGTGGATCTCCTATCAATTATGGACTTGCATAGTCAACATCAGTGTAGGCTTCAAGAATTGTATTCCCCTTTTTGTTATACAAAATTCCTCTTCCTGGTGTCCCCTTGAGGTTCTGCAAAAACCAATGTCATGTAAGTGAACTTCTATTGGACAATGCATAAATTGGCTAACCAAAGTTGTAGCAAATGCAATATCTGGCCTTCTGGGAGACAAGTAAATTAATTTTCCAACCAAACGTTGAATCAATCTACCTATAAAAATAATGGAAGGAGAGTAGAATTTCCCTAATTACATATATGGATAATATTTCCCAGAATATGTCAAAAACTTCAATTTGAATAACTAATCTCTCCTATTTTTGTATGCCTTGTGTTGTATTGACACTTTAGTTTAGCAGTTAGTTGTCTTTAGATCCTTTTCACCGTCATCTCTTTCCACAGTGCATCATGATGAATTTTTAGATTTATGCCCTCTTAAAATAGTTGTTATTATATGTTGTACATCTTTATAAAGCTGCTTTTTTGGCGTATCTAGCTTAAGGGTTAAGGGTTATAGCTGTAGCCTTTCCCTTGTATTGTACTTGTTCTGACCTTTATATATATATATATGTGTGTGTGTGTATATATATATATATATATATATATATATATCAGCTGAGAGAGACTTACTGATTTTTGGCCTATTTTAAATTTCAAGTTCCATCTGATTTATTTATTTATTTTCATGTAGGTGCCATCTGTATGGAGCTTGTCCGGCAGTTTGATTGTTCTCAGTTCCTATCACGGGCTGTTAAGAGTCTTACGAAAGTTCATGAGTTTTCACTTATTCCCTTGCCTTTTGTCTCGGTATTGATAGCTCAAGCAGAAGGAGGCCTTGGTTCTAAGGAGAGGTGGAACAGAAGTCTTGGCCTCGAATGGTATAATTGGCCATCAGGTTTGGTTTCTACTCTCTCTATGTAAGTGGTGGCAAGGGAATTACTGGAGAGCTAAATGTTTTTAAGTTTCTATTCCCGTATTCCATACCATATAAAAGATTGTCATTATCATTGCATATTTGGGTGTGCTGAGCAAATTTTGCTGGATTATTTGTCTCAACTTGTCCAAATTAATAAACTACTATCTGATATTTCTATGTTGAGTTGGATGCTTTGAGATTTAGTAATTGAGCTCAGCCGATTAGTAGAATCTTATGCAGTACTTGAAAATGGTGTGTTTGTATTCATTGATTGCTATTCTTTTTGTGGATTTACCGCTAATGTCGGCTGCTTTTTCGTAGAAATGAAGCCTGCAGAGCTATACTTTCAAATGCATTTGCTTGCAAGACAGTCGAAAGTTGATCCAAACGCTGCATCTAGCATGGAGTTCTCTGAGACTCCTCAGAGATGGGTTATTCGAGCAATTCACATTAACCCTTCTTGTATGCGATATTGGAGGGTTCTACAGAAGCTTATCGAGACTTGAAATATGAAGCAACACATTTCAGGAGCGGGGGTGTCTGGCTATATTTCATTTCTATTGAATGTGGGATGGGAAATAGCTTAACAAGTTAAATGGAACCGTTTGATAGTCCAATACTTCATGTACTAATAAACATGTTATATATTTCGGGAGCGAGAAAAGGGAGGGGGGGGGGGAGGTAACTAATGGATTGAAACTGTTGATTACAGAGTATTAATATTTTACAAGTTTCACTTATTAAATGTACACTTTTTTATGCTAAACGGGACTGTATAGTTTCAGATTGGCCCCAATATGAGTTGACTTAAAATGCGAGTTATCATTACGTAATTGGATGACAGCATTCGTACATTGAGAAAGTAGAGGAATAAAAAAATGCAATTAAGTCAAATTCATTTTCAGATGTGTTAAATTTTTTAACACATTTAAAAAAACTAAATTGTGTAAGAGTTTAATTTTCTTTAACTAGTTTTGGGAAGAGGACGTTCAAGAAATTATCCTAAAAAAGTGTAGACATGCTCCATAGTGTTGTCCGACCATTTCCAGGTGCTTCACGTTTAGCTATTTTATATGTAGCTCATTCTTGGGTTTCTTTTACATTCAACGAGATGTTATTTTATTTTAATCACTTTTTGCTTGGGAGTGTAATTTTGCATTCATTTTGGACATTGAAATTACTCCCTATGTTATTAAACCGTGATTCAAATTGTGAATTGTCTAACTAGCTTTTAATCATAAATCACAATTTGTATGGAATTGTAAGATTCATAAACAATTAAATAATTGCTTGCAAGTGTATCATATAGATGATATTTAGTATTGAATGTAAAAAAATTAAACTAAAAAATGGATAAAACCAATGCTTTAAATTCCAGACCGAAAATTGACTTGGTTAAAGTACCTGATAAATGATTGAATTATATAAATTAATATATTATTAAATATATACTTTTAAATAAAGAATTATGAAAAAACTTACTTAAGTCATGTATGTTACAATATAAGATTCTGGTTTAGTGATCATTTATATCTAAAGTATGTAAATCATCATGGTTTGATTCTTATTTAGGGGTAGTAAATAAATTTATTTATTTATCATTTATTTGATTCATTTATAAATAAATATATTCAATCCATCTATTATAATAAAAATAAATAATGAATCAAATATAATTCATCCATTTAATTTTATATATGGTTAGTAATTCATCCATTATTTTTTTTAAAATTCATGGGATTACAATATGAGACTTTTATTAACTTGATGTCTTAATACTATTTTAACATTACAAAAAAGTTTTGCAAATTTCAAAAATTATATAAGAATATGATGAATTATAAAGAAAAGAGAGAGAAATAAAATATTTAAAAAATATAAATTATTTAAGTTTTAAGACATTATTTTATGGATGGATTTAATATCCATTCATGAAAAATTTGTTAATAAATGGATTGATTTTCTTTTTTACTTTAAATAAATTAGATGGATTGAATTTTTATATGAATTTTTTAATGAATCTAAATAAATTAATGAATTATTTTTATGCAATTTATTATAATTTGTTTAAAAAAGTTATCTAAGCCATTTATTTATTGGTTGTTCCTATTCTCATCATAACCAAAATTTTCCCCCACAGTATAACACTTTCAAAAATTAAAAAAAAAAAATGGAATCGGTCAACTTGTACTGTCATGATTTCATAGTCCAAACAAATTTTTAAAATTATGCATAAAACAACTTAACCATAAATCTTATAAATCTAAGTTATTAATTACATGTGAACTCTTTATTCTTCTTGAATGACAATAAAACAATTTAATAGCTAAATGAGTTTAATGAGTAACAAATAAGATAGTGAACTAATCAAATAAGATAAGTTTCTTCGGTCCCTTTTCATTTAACAATTTAAGATTATATAATAACTTTTCAATTTCAATTTTCTCATGAGAATTGATGGAAGTTAAATAAAAACAATCATTGATTTGTGTGATTTTATCAATCATACAAAGTTGCATATATTTATGCATGTATTATAAGATACGATTAATATTCAACTTATGATATTTAACCTAATAACTTTTTTACTTATACACATAACAGCATTTTTTTTTTCTTGAGAGATTTTATTTGCACCTTCTTCCTCACCCCACTTTTTTTTTGTCATTTCAATTTTCAGAAACGCCCTTATGCTTTTTAGGAGAAAAAAAAAAATTTCTTCCCTTTTTCTTTGTACAAGTCATATCCTTTCTTAGTTGTCACCCCCTATTATACAACCCGCTTTTCTATCCACATAATGTTGCCAAAACATTATTATCTGATGCACATTATGTTTTTAATTGTCACAGCGATTGTCATTGGTCTCCTGCATTGTTGCAATCAATAGTAAGTTTCAAATTTTTATATTTTGCCTTATGTAAATTTATCAAAAACTAATATCTAGAATACATCTAAAGAGATTTCTATAATTAATTTTCGAAACAAACATGTGTTTTTTGAAAACTAATTTTCATGATGTAAATATTATTGATGTTTATTTTCATTCGAAAACCTAATTTCCAAAAGACATTTGGCTGTGTTTTGGAAACTAATTTCTCCAAGAAACAATACTATGCACAAGAAGTAACGTGGAAAGATAATGTGCGCAATGTGATGCTGAGGCCAAAAAACCATATAATGAATTTGACGCTTTGGAATAGTAAAAAGTTAATAAATTATTGTTAAAATGGTTCAGTGACTTTTCATGCACCAGTTACAGTGAATCAATTTAATATATTGTTCATCGGAGTATAAGTAAATAGTAATAATTTTAATTTTTCATTTAAATTATTTAAAATTATTAAAAAGTTTTTTTTAACTCATCATCTTCTTTGCACTTACTCTGATCTTGATAGTGTAGATTCTTACGGCCTATGCCATCAATTTTACAAAATGCTCTGAGTAGAGGTTGTTTAAGGGATCTAAGTCAAGATCTAAAAGCTCCTTTACCACACGTACTCGTGTCATGTGTAGTGCCACGACGTCGTCGCTCTAATCATGGTGTAGTGGTGCAAATTCACATCGGCTTTTACTAGTAGTTTCATGCAGTGCTCCAAGTTGAGGTTAAAGATGAGGAGGATTGTTGTGCGATCATCAACGTCAATGTCGCAATTGTCGTTGAAATCAAATTTTTATTATTAAATAAATCTAAACCATTCAATTTAATTATTCATATATCTAACAGTATCTTTTATTTCTCTACTGGTGAACCATATAAAAATTACACTTTATTTTATTGGTCCACTCATAAATCACATGATGTGTATAATAAATTTCGACAACTCAATTAATCAAATTAACTAAAATTCATTAATAATATGGCTATTTTACGATTTTAGAAATATTTTATTATTTTAAAATGGTGGCTAACACTTTCAAAGATCGGTGTAAAAGAAAAACACTTCCAAAAAATCATTTTTTCTAAAAAAATAAACGTATGAAGTGAATATTAATGTTTTTCAGTTGAGATATTTTAATAAATTATATTTAATGTTTCACATTCACTTAAAGCACTTGGTTACCAAAATTCAAGATCTAAAGTATTCATGTGTGAATCAAAATATGCTTCGGTCCACCGTTTTCTTAGAAGCGAAAAGAGGCTTCCTTTTCCAGGCATGTTTTGTATCAAAAAATGAGCATACCGTAGCCACAAGTGAGGAGATCTATTCGCATCTATTGCGAGGATACGCGAAAGACTCGAATTTGGTGAGTGGAAGAGCAGTTCACGCTAAATTAATCACAGGCTCTATTCCTTTCACTGTTTTTCTTCAAAACCATTTGCTTAACATGTACGTCAAAGTTGGAGACCTTCCTTCGGGCCTAAAAGTGTTTGACGAAATGCCCCAGAGAAATGTGGTGTCCTGGTCCGCTGTCATGGCTGGTTGCATCCAAAATGGCTGTGCTTCGGAGGCTCTTTCTTTGTTCAGCCGTATGCATCACGAGGGAGTTACGAAACCAAACGAGTTCACGTTTGTTAGCGCTCTACAGGCATGCTCTTTAACTAATGTTACTCTGGCTTACCAGATTTATTCATTAGTTGTGCGGTCAGGACTCATGTCTAATATCTTCTTACTCAACACATTTTTGACAGCCCTACTGAGGCATGGTAAATTGGCGGAAGCCTTTAAAGTTTTTGACCAAAGTCCAGGCAAGGATATCGTGTCTTGGAATACCATCATAGGGGGTTACTTGCAGTTTTCTTGTGAGCGGATTCCTGAATTTTGGTGTTGCATGAACCGTGAGGGTGTGAAACCTGATAACTTCACATTTGCCACCGCCCTCACTGGGTTGGCTGCTCTGTCTTATCTACAAATGGGAACGCAAGTTCATGCTCGCCTTGTCAAGAGTGGATATGGGGATGACCTTTGTGTGGGGAACTCACTGGCTGATATGTATATAAAAAATCATAAGTTGGTAGAAGGTTTCAGAGCTTTTGAAGGGACGCCTAACAAAGATGTGTGCTCCTGGTCCCAGATGGCTGCTGGATGTTTACACTGCGGGGAACCAAGAAAGGCACTTGCAGTCATTGCACAGATGAAGAAAATGGGTGTAAAGCCAAACAAATTTACCTTGGCAACTGCTCTAAATGCTTGTGCCAGTTTGGCTTCACTAGAGGGAGGGAAACAAATTCATGGCTTGAGGATTAAGCTTGAAAGGGACATTGATGTGTGTGTTGATAATGCTCTTCTCGATATGTATGCAAAATGTGGATGCATGGATAGTGCATGGGGTGTTTTTGGATCAATGAACTCCCGTTCTGTCATTTCTTGGACAACAATGATAATGGCATGCGCGCAGAATGGCCAATCCAGAGAAGCTCTTCAAATTTTTCAAGAAATGAGGGAGGCGGGTGTAGTGCCTAACCACATCACCTTCATTTGTGTTCTTTATGCATGTAGTCAAGGTGGGTTTGTTGATGAAGGGTGGAAGTACTTTTCTTCCATGACCAAAGACTATGGAATCTTCCCCGGAGAAGATCACTACGCCTGTATGGTGAATATTCTTGGCCGGGCTGGACTTATTAAAGAAGCTAAGGAGTTAATCCTAAGAATGCCGTTTCAGCCGGGTGCGCTTGTTTGGCAAACATTGCTCGGTGCTTGTCAGATTCAAGGCGATGTAGAAACTGGGAAACTTGCAGCAAAACGTGCCATACGACGAGACCAAAAGGACCCGTCAACCTATTTATTATTGTCCAACATGTTTGCTCAATTTAGCAATTGGGATGGCGTGGCGATTCTGAGAGAACTGATGGAGATAAGGGATGTAAAGAAAGTACCAGGATCCAGTTGGATTGAAATCGATAGGATTTAACAAATTTCATTCAAACATACGAAAAATCTTCATTTCATATCACCCTTTCTTTTACAAGTTATCACACGTTACATGGGATATAACGTTGAGTTATGTGAGACAAAAACTATTTTCGATTCCGGAAAGGAATTTTAAGAAATTTTTTATGTTGAAATATTTTGTTTCAATAAGAAATTTAAAAATAAATTAAAATTTCTCCGTATATAATCAAAATTATTATCTTGTATAAGAATGATATTGAAGATTTATTTTAACGAAAGTGTTTTTAACTGATTTTCTTTTTGACATCAATATTTTTAAATTTTTTTTCCTTCTCAATTTCTCATCTTTTACATATTTTTTAAGTTTTATTAGTGGGATTGAGGTATTTTGTATTTCAAAAAATTAATTATCCGCAAATATGGGCGGATAAAATTTGCAACAAGTAGAAAATGTATATTGAAAATGAATACTTGTCAATAACAAATACAAATATTTTTTATATTTGCATATTAATAGAGTGTAAGGGTATCATAGTATTAGTATTCACATATACTTGTATCTGCTCATATTTAATTTATTTGTATTTGTATAAATTTGATTTTATTTGGTCTTTATTTGAACTTATAGTAATTAAGTATTATACTTTATTATCTTTTATTTTGATTTATGTGAAATCAAAATATTTTATTTTAATAATTATTTTTTGAACTTTAAACTTTTATGATTGAATGCTTAAAATTCAGTTTTTAAATCTACTTATTGTTATTAGTATAATTGTGAAGAATATTATAATTTTAATATTATAATCTTCAATTTTTTATATAGATTTTATTTAAATTTTAGTTATAATGTTCATATTTTTTTATGCTGATTTTTATAACTTTTAAAAGAAAAATAGTTACAAATAATTAAAATGTATGGTTAAAATATTTTGTTAAATATTTTTAAAATATATTTTTTAGTAAATACATGTGGATACCCACGAATATTAAAAAATATGTGGATATTTGCTAAAAGTATATCCTCACAAATATGAGGAAAGACATATTTATTTGATAGGGAGGGTAGTAGGAAGCTATTACCTGCATCGACACTGTCTTATTGACATTTATAGTCTTTATATTTGCTTTAAAATATTTAAAAATTATCAATATTTGTTGAATCAACTGATATTATGTCTCTAAAAAAATTGATATTATGTCTAGTATTTGAACTTCAAGATCTTAGATTTATAAGAATAATTAATTTATAATTTTTTTTATTATTTAAAAAAATTAAAATAAAACAGTCCAAAGTTATAATTATGAATATAGAATAGTGTTTTTATACATATATATATATATATAGAGAGTTAATATAGAATAGTGCTTTTTCATCTGCTCATTTAATTAAATTAAAATAAAAAAGGCACTATTAATGGCTTTGATTGACTGTCAGTGTAAAAAAATTTACACTGGCAGTGTATAAGTGATTAACTCATATATATATATATATATATATATATATATATGAGAAAGGTTATAATAACACCGGTGTAACTTTTACTAAATATTACATCGTTCATAACATTATATTAAATGTTAATTTTGTAAATTCAATCATTAGATTGAAAGTTTTTTACTCTTAGATCATATATACACAAATTTATATTAATCCAAGATGATTTGATACTTCATTCTTATAAAACAAAATTAACGTAATATATACATTTCAAAATATACTAAAATATGAACACTTTGACTACCTTTAAATTGTTGTTAAATTTTAACAAAAATTGATATAAACATATAAAGTGATATGAACTTTTAATCTAACAGCTAAATTTACAAAATTTACATTTAATATAAAGTTATTGAATATATATATATATATGTGTGTGTGTGTGTGGGTGTGTGTTGAATTCAATATCTAGTTAAAGAGTAACGGACAGTTTTATTATTTTGAGGTTTGTTTATATGATAGACAAGGTTTCATTAAGATATGTAGCGTGAAATTTTACACCATTTTTTTAAAAATTAAACTTAAATGAAAAATTATAATTTATAATATATGTGATTTGTGGCGGTTATTTTGATAGTCTCTAGTGGTTAAAAGCTGCCACAAAGGACATTACCGGTGTCATTAATAACCGTCAGATCTACAGTCACCAAAAACGGTTTGCGGCGGAAATTTTGTAAACGTTGGATTTGCGCGTCAGAAAATTCAAACACTTTGTGGCGGTTTGAAACGGTCACAAAATACATTTTAATGTTACTTGTTTGACAGTTTCTGACGGTTTAAAACCGTCACAAAATTTATCTTAAGCGTTTTATATGTAAACAGCAATACAAAAGATTTAAACAACCTGGTTGTTGTAACATACAATAGCAGAATCCAAATGGTCCAAAAGATACGGGGAAGATACAAAACAAAAAAGTTTGCAAAAGTACAACCAAGGAAAGTTTGCAGGTTTTATTAACTACAGAACATAATAAAGTTCAACAAAAGGAAAATTTCCTGAGGAATGATGTCTTGGTTTACAGGGAGGAAAAATATAACTTTTACCTGATTTAAACAAATTTTAACTAAATCAATTGGGTTATAAAGAATTTTGCCAATAAACAAACAGTGCAGGCAATTATCCATGCTGCAAACTTGAAATCTCTATTTAGCACTTGATAGCTTAGCATAAACATTTCTTCTAAAATATGAGACACGTAAAACATAAAATCCAATAAAAAAAATCCGAGAAATGGATGCAAGGAATCAGTAAAACAATATTTAAATGACTCAAAGAAATTGGAAAATAATAGTGCTTTTGAAATTAATTGATAAAGAATGAAGAATGATCAGTGAAAAAGATTATTTTCAGAGATCCAGTTAAAACACTTAATTGTAAACAATACCTGCATAGAAGCTGGCTTGAGTTGAGCTTTCAG